AACAGTAATGTGATTATCTGATGTGGGTGAATGCTGGGAACAAGGTATTGCCAAAGGGGTCCAAGGATGAACAACACTAGTTTCACTCTGAATCTTTCCCAAACATTCTGGTCTGATTTTATTTAAGGGACTCAGATTAAAAGCATTTTAAGTTTTCTTAAAGATAGATAACTAAATAAAACCCCTTTGCTATTCACTTCTATGAAGCGTGAAAGGAAACATTATCCTGGGTGATGGAAAAATACCACTGTCCACTTGTAGCCCACATCCTCCTCCTCCTACCTACTAATGTTTCAGAAAAGAAGTACAGAGTGCACAAAAATGAACCATAAACACAGGAAGTATAAGGCAAATAATAAAACAAATCTAAGATACTCCATGTTAAGAGTGAATAAAGCTACCGGAAGAAAATTATTTTACCAGATTAAGTGTCTCTTGTGAAAAGATAGGGGTATTAAACTTGTCACTATTTCAGAGGGCACAAATAACTCCAAGCATGAAATGTTCACTCTGAGAGATTTCACTGTTAGACTCAGAATACTGAATATCAGAATACGTCTTCTATTCCCTAAATTCTTCACCTACTATCAAGTTGTGCTGCAGTGTGAAGGCACCTGGAATCATACACTCATGGATCATTAAGCTGCCCATCACCATGCACAGAATGAGACAGCCTGGTTCCTAAGACGCGATGCTTACAAGCATCATAGTTCTGGGGAGCAGGTTTAGAGCAGTGTCGGGGTCAGCCAACCAGCCAGTCAGGTAGCCATTCCTCAGCTCTAGTCTCTAGCTCCTCAACTGGAGGCTTAGGACAATAACAAAGGACTTAGCACAGTGCCCCACACATGATCAGGACACTTAGCGTGGCCCATTCTGCCTCCCTCTCACCTCTCAGACATTTGCCGCATGTCTGTCTCCTCTCTGACCAGCATGCTGATGGCTCTGAGGAATCTGAGGTCTGTAAGAAATCATCCTGCCGTCACACTGCGCATCACCCACTGGGGTACGGATCACCTGTACATGAGCCAAGTGAGGGGACTATGGGCACACAGAAGATGGATGCCAGGCATGCATTAACAAGGCAGAGAGGACCGGGACAGGTGGGGCATGCAAACCATGACAAATGACGCAGTGATCTCAGAGCTGAATGACTAGAAAGGTGGGAGGAGGGGGGATTTGTGGTCTTGGAAAGAAGTTTGGGGGCTTCTTATCATAGAAGCGGAGTGATGCTGTGGCCAGACTGGACTTCAAATGGTACTTCAAGGAGAAAGAATCAAAACCTTCACATAAAGTCCAAAGCTGATTAGATGCAGAGGGCAAGGCAATGTCAAAGATGGAATCAGGAGCCCAGTCTGAGGAAGGCGTGGCTGGGAAGCCAGGAAGCAAGCAGGCATAGGAACAGAACAGTGAGACCAACTCTACATCGAGGGCAGGATGGAGCAGATGCTAGCAGCTTGTGGTTATCAAGCGCTGAACCAGGAGGCTGCCCTGAATGGGAGTAAGGGCACATGGAAGACAAGAGACCGTGAGGGTAGTCAGAGGGGCAGGAGGGCTTGTGCTGTGAACCCAGGAGACTAGAGGATGGCAGTCGAGAAGACACCAGCCTAGGCAGGAGCTAGAAATAGGCTCGAAAGTTTCCTATGTAGCTGGACAAGGAAAAAGCGACGTGCTGAGGGGAACTGGACAACGAGCGAAGCTGACAAATGCAATGAAGATGATCAGCCGCAGAGAATGAGGGCGACAGACATGGCCAGGTGAAGGCCACTGCGGTCAGGCAGAAGTGAGATCACAGTGCGATGAGACTGCCCTGGATCTGCAGCTTGCATTTAGCACGGTCAGCATGAATCGATTCATCATTTTGAGTTTGATGGGAAATTTCTCAGAAGGTCCCAATCATAACTGTTTCAGAGTTCCTGTTGTATTGAAATGAACGATTCACGAGCGCAGCAAAGAGGCACCAGACAATATCCAGACTCTGCCAGGAATGGGGAACACAGCCAGACAGGAAGACATTTGGAAATAAGCTGGCCAACTGGCACACCAACAAAGGTACCTTCCTTGTGGCCTCCGAGTGCCCAGAATATACCCGCCTTTGTCTAAAGAGAGTTTGGGCAGCACTGCCCTCAGCCTCCCTGGCACAGTGCTTTCTGATGCTTTCACAGCCCACAACTATCCCCCCGGCCTTATTGGGGAGGCATTTCGCCCAGAAACAGCACACAGTCATCGGGAGATGTCGCCGCCAAGTCCAGACATGCCTGGTGATGGGCACTGCCTTCACCCACTCATGCCTCCTCTCCACAGGCCACACCTCATTCCTACACTGGGCTCCTCTAAGCAAAGGGCAAGCTGCTTCTCCACCACACCACGTCCCCGCCAAAGAGGACGTCCCCTGCCTGGCCAGGCCACCTTCCAGTTGCCATGGTGGAGCTCAGCCGTGGGGCGTGTTTACCCTCCCGGAGCTATTTCTGGCTCAAGAGTCCATTGGAGTCGAGGGTTGGGCAAGGACTGTGAAGGCGGGGGCCGAGGAGTGGGTGACGGGGCTTTGAAGAGGAATGTTGGTTGGGGGTGTGGGGGTGTGAGGGTCTTTCAGAGCATCACCGGGCCACAGAGGCAGATGGCAGCCTGGAGGTCACAGTCTGCTTTAGTGAACCAGGACAATGACATGAGTCAAAGTCCCATTCATTTGGTCTTTAAGCTATGTCTTAAAGGATTTATTCACATCCAGTCCTCCCAAGACCCTGTATATGATCTTCACTTTACAGAAGGAGGACTGAAGTTCAGAGAGTGAATGAATGCCCTCACGTTCGCTTTACATGATAGAGCAAGCTAGAAGTTAGGGTGTGTTTAACTCTAACGTCAGTTTGTCTCGTGGCTCCCAATGAGCTGCCCTAACCTTCAAGGAATGCAAAACCAGTTCCTTGCGGCACTTTTTCACAGTAGTCAAAAGATAGCAATACAAAAATGTCTATCCAGAAATGACTGCATCTACAAAGTGCTGAGTACACAGGGGGAAGTCAGCATTGCGGTGAGGGTGCCAGGGCATAACGTCACTCACTCCCAGGCGTCGAGGCGATGCCGATTCAGAGCGGCCCCACAGGACAGCGCAGGGCTGTCCCTGTGTTTCTGAAACTGGAACTCTTTATGGGAGTAGAATGTCCTGTCTTTCTCAGACGTGGCTGGTGATTTCAAACTGCTGATCGTACAGATTACTGCCTGGAGTGTTACCACTACCCCACAGGGGCTCCACGAGCTCATTCCAAACAAAGCACGGATTAACAAACGAGAGCTTCATGTTCTCGTTTGTTTCTCTATTTTCTTATTTTCGTTTAATAATGGTCTCTGTGATTTTGCAACAATGCACCTTTGTTGTTCCATTTGAGCCCATTGGGGCAGCCACTGTTTCAATCGATCGCAACGGCCTTTGTCTTTTTCACTTGACCGAGCGCGATGATCTTCTCTAGGGAACAATCTCTCCTGATCACATGTCCAAAGTACAAGAGACGAAGTCGTGCCATCCTTGCCTGAAAGGAGCATTCTGGCTGTGCTGCTTCTAAAACACATCTGTTTGCTCTTCCGGCAGTGCACCATGCTTTCGATAGTCTTCACCAATACCATACTTCAAATACAATGACTTGTCTTTGGTTTCTTTATTCAAGAGCCAACTTTATTTTATTTTTAATTTAAATGTTTTTTGGGGAGTGGGGGGGTGTGCTTATATAGATATTATAACAATCCGTAAATCAATTATATCAAGCAAACGTGTACATATGTTGCCATTGTCATTTTCAAACCAGTGTCTTCCTACTTGAGCCCTTACTATAGCTCCTCTATTTCCCCCTCAATATCCAACTTCAACATATTTATGAGGCGATTGAAAACCCCATGGCTTGAGGCTGGCACACACTAGCCCTCAAAGAAACATCCTTGCTTTTCAATACTCTAAAGCTGTCTTGGGCAGCAGATGGACCCAATGCAGTGCATCCTTTGAACATGGATGGTAGATCCAAGCACATTGAAATTATCTGCTGGGTGTGTGTGTGGGGGGGGGGGGCACTGATTTTATGACTTCTTCACCCAGAGAGACACCGAGTTATATCTTATATGGCAGCTTGTAAGCTTTGAAGACCCTGATTGAGTTTTTGTGAGATTGCAGAAAGAGGGTGGAGGAAGTTCAGCAAACTGTCACCAAAGGGATTTAAAACTAAAATGTTTAGGGAAAACTCATGAATACCCTCAAAAATTAATGAACCCTTGATGTTAAAATTAGAAGGCATCTCGTGAACAATCTTAACCTTCGTTTTAAAGCAGGATCCTTAAAGAAAGGTTAGGTAAAGGTTTTATTTAAAGTATTCTTTAAATACTATATGTTGAAAGCAATACACACACACACACACACACACACACACACACCATAAAGACTTTCATTAGTTTAGACAAAAGGCTGTCCTAGCACTTTATGATTTTCTGTATTTTCAAAATACATAAAAGGTAATACATTAGCAGTTAATCTCATCTAAGAACCAAATTACCCAAGAATTAAAACTACCAGGAAAAATCACTACCTTGAGCATTAACCATAGCTATAACTACCCTGGTTGCATTTCATCCTTTTTCTATGAATAACAAATAAATAGTTTATTTCTATACCTTTGCTCCGAAAGCCCTGTTATCGTGTTAAGACTGCAATTACGGTCAGGAAATAAGAGTCCTCGGATGTTCTGTGGCTGAGTCTGGACTTTGTTTCAAGTTTACATAAATTGCTCTATAATGAAAGCGAATCAAGGACAACGATTTATTCTGTCTCTTTCATTAAAATAGACCTACTTTGAAAAACGCCTTCAGGTGAAACACTCCTTTGCATTCTCCCCGTGTTCCTGTTGTTGTTTGGGGGGAGGGGGGGTGGGAGTCGAAATCATTCCTATGACATCATTTCCCCTCGGCCTGGTCCAGGAGGGCAGTGCCCGGGCAGCCGGGACGGCTGCAGATTTGGGGCCACTCACCATGACATCCCCCTTGAGCAGCTGGGCGGGTTCGATGGCGATGCAGACCCTGCTCTGGTTTTCCGGGCTGATGTTGCTTTGGGGTAGAGAAGAAGGTGCATCAGTGCGTGAGAGTACAGTGTCATCGAAAGGAAATAGTTTGTGAGTAACAATGTGGCGATCGAAAATGCAGCAGTGGAATGACGTATCCCATTTCCCTTAATAATCCAACACCCAAGAGTTTAGTCTCTGTAAATGTGTGACACAAGGGACAAAACACGACCAGGTCAGGGAGGACAGAACCAGATTCCCCAGGTGGGTCGTGACCTAGGGGGACCTGGTCTGCACAGTCTTGTGGTGCGGAGCATGCAACCTGCTTCCAATGCTGCCAGAAGCCCAGATGACACACACAAGGTGCGTCGAATGCAGAATGCACCTGGGAACATGAAGATGGACCACTGCAAGCAAGTGGTGCCACTGCGGTGAGAACATGTGTTACCTTTTTTAGCTCTCCTTACATGCCCATAGAATGCTTTTTCAAAAACAAACACACACACACAAAGAGCCAAGAAATCATTATGAATAATCAGTATATGGGGGGACCGATGGTCTAAAATCTAGCGGGGAGGGAAGAAAATGCAACCAGTCCTTGTTCTGGGACTCTTCGCAGTATGGTCACCCCCAAAGAGCACATGGCCCTCTCTTCCCTTCAATGCCAGCACCCATGTACCTCTGAGTATCCGGACAAGACACTACTTGAGGTCAAGAGGGAGGCCAAGGTGATGAGGGAGGAAATGGTAGCCCAGTTCCCGCTGTATCCCCTCTCTGCTCTCTGCCACCATCTCACTCCCACTCTCTTGCTGTAGGAAAAGCAGCTCAGGCCTAGTGCATGACTCCCCTCCCTGCACCCTCCTCTCTGTTATCAGAGCATACTTACTAGATCCCAGATGTGTACATGGGCTGCATGGCCTGGTAGAGCTTCAGGAAGGGGCGACACACTGAAAGAGAGGCAGGTCAGCTGTCAGACACCTTCAGCCTGGGCAATGTCCAACAGGGGGCGGCACTTAGGAATGTGGGAAGCAGAGCGAAGAGGTGCTACTAGGTGAGGAGCTTGGAGTTGCTACCCTAGGAGTTAGGGTATAAGGGGTTAGGGACTCACAGAGTCCTGGGAGAGGCTGAATCTGATCTTGACCTTTATCCCTTGACTGGGAACCACTGGGGGTCAAGGCAGGCTGCAGCACAATCAGCACTTCAGCAAGACCACTCTAATGAGGATGGCCAGGGAAGCTGACAGGAGTAACTCACTGCACGTGACAGTCTCGGGTGAGACTGGACAGGAGAAATGCTTCCTGACCACTGGCTGCCACGCTGGGCTGTCCCATCCGGTCACTTTACATGGGACAGCAGGAGAGATGGCGTTTCTGATGTGATCTAGGAGACGAGCCATTGGGATGACTGCATGGCTTCAGGTCTCTCTCAGAATTCAAAGCTGGCCCAGAATGAAAGACACCACAGAGAGCCCAGGACAGGGAAGACCCTCAGCCCACCTGTCCTCTGATGCGCATGCCAGCCTCATCAGACTAAGACACCGCTCGGCCCATGGTACAGTCCCTAATCATGCCGGTCCTCAAAAAAGCAGCGCTACCTGCTTCGATCCCTCGGCAAATCTGGACAGCACGGCTGCCTGCCGTCACTCACCTCCACCCGTGTCGAAGTTGGGGACCCCGTGCAGGATGACAGAATGCAGGAACAGCGGGGAGGCGTTCATTTTCACCAACCCAGACAGAAGGCCACTGAGGAACTGCACGTATCTGTAAATAATCGCAAACTTAGAGCTTCCCAGGATTACCGCTGCCCCTGCTAGAGGTGTAAGTGGGAGGGACTTGGCGTGGGGTGAGGCCATGAAGATATGTAGACCAATAGCCTTCTGCCCTTAGGGTTCGGGGCTGTGACGTCATCCTAAGGGTTAACAGGATGGTGAAAAGTCTTTGGACGAATTTCCTAAAGAGCCATAGGTTCTGGATAATCCATCTGAAGTAATTCTACATGGAAGAAATCTTTACCGAGCACATACTGTATGCCTGGTACCAGGCATCCAGAACCATGAAGCGCTCCCTCCTTGCCAGGAGCTGTTCCTGCCAAGACCCTCGACCCCTCCCCCCTGCCCCCTACACACACACACACACACACACACAC